ATGAAGTCCTCAAGGAATGCACCTCCTGCACGTTTCAGGGGCCATGCTGCATGCAGCATGATCTGTCACCCGCTGTCTCCATTGAACACAGCAGATGACCAATCAGTTTACTGGGCATTGCCAGTACCATGTGATCACTGAGACCAATCACAGCAGATCACATGACAATTATACACAATAGATGGTTTTCATTAATGCCATTCATTGTGTACTATTGTGTTGATCTCTGTGATGGGTCACAATTGTCACATGGTACAGACAGGGTCCATCACAGCCCATCTGTGCCATGTGATTAGCTGTGGCCAATCACAGCTAACCACAATAGTAAACACTGAATGAATCATTTTCATTCAGTAAAAATGGTTGCTTAAAACAGTGAAATTCACTGGTATACTCACTTGCTGTCTGCCCTACAGCAGTTTTACTGCTACAGGTCTACCGCTCTGTGTAAAATCATGTAAAATTACTGTGTTCAGTGAAGGAAATAAGTATTTGATCCCCTGCTGATTTTGAATGTTTGCCCACTCACAAAGAAATGATCAGTCTAAAAATCGAATGGTAGGTGTATTGTAACACTGAGAGACAGAATAGCAACAAAAAATTCAAAAGAAATGCATGTCTAACAAATTATGCACTGATTTGCATGTTAATGAGGGAAATAAGTACTTGATCCCCTTCACAAGACATGACTTAGTACTGGGTGGTAAATCCCTTGTTGGCAATTACAGAGGTCAGACGTTTCCTGTAGTTGGCCACCAGGTTTGCACACATCTCAGGAGGGATTTTTGGCCCACTCCTCTTGGCATATCCTCTCCAAGTCTTTAAGGTTTGGTGGCTGATGTTTGGAAACTTGAACTTTCAGCTCCCTCCCTCCACAGATTTTCAATCGAATTAAGGTCTGGAGACTGGCTAGGCCACTCCAGGACCTTAATGTGCTTCTTCTTGAGCCACTCCTTTGTTGCCTTGGCCGTGTGTTTTGGGTCATTGTCATGTTGGAACATCCATCCACGACCCATTTTCAATGCCCTAGGTCTACAATCTACTGTATATTGTAGGTCTACAATCTTGTGCTTGACATCCTTGGACAGCTCTTTGGTCTTTGCCATAGTGGAGAGTTTGGAATCTGATTGTTTGATTGCTCCTGTGGACAGGTGTCTTTTATACAGGTAACAAAATGAGATTAGCAGTGCTCCCTTTAAGAGACTTATTCTAATCTCAGCTTGTTACCTAAATGAAAGACACCTGGTAGCCGGAAATCCTGCTGAATGATAGGGGATCAAATACTTATTTCCTCGTGAACATGCAAATCAGTGCATAATTTGTTAGACATGCATTTCTTTTGAATTTTTTGTTGCTATTCTGTCTCTCAGTGTTACAATACACCTAGCATTCAATTTTTAGATTGATCATTTCTTTGTGAGTGGACAAACATTCAAAATCAACAGGGATTCAAATAGCTATTTCTGTCAGCAAGAGCGACAGCGCACGGGTCTGCGCATGCGCAGAACGCCAATGTGCCCTAATCAGCAGGCACCAGGACCTGAGCTCCCGCAACGGCAATGGTGCTCGCATATGCGCACACTCGCGATCGCGGACACGCGCCTGGCACCAATGACAGCTCAGGCGCACTATTTAAACCAGCTCTGCACAGGCACTAGTTACCGTATGGTCTATTTACCCTGTTCCTGTGTATCTGCTGATTGATTTGTTGCCGAACTTGCTGATCCTGACCTTTGCTGACTATCTCCTGCTCTGACCCCTGGCTCGTTTGACTACTCTCCTGGATCTGGATCTGAACTCCTGTTACCGAACCCGGCGAGTGACCTGACTACTCTTTGCCTGCTGCCTTGCACTGCGCTGTCCCCACTGTTACCAGAAGACCCGGCCTGTCTGACCACTCTGCCATCCATTCGTCCTGCACGGATTCGGTCACCACTGCTCAGGCCTTCCCGCCTCTTCACGTCAGGCTCTCTACCAGTATATACCTCTGGCTGATCCCTCTACCACCGGCGGGTGTACTCAGGGGCCGTGACCTGGTCACTGTCTGCTCCAAGTCCATCCCCACCATCAGGGGTCCTGGTGAACAAGCAGACTGGGGCTTAGACCCTGCGCTCTGGGGAAGCCTGTCCTGTGGACTGCTAGAGGTACCGCCAGGCGGTGTCTGACAATTTCCTTCACTGTATATATATATATGTATGATTTTGCATTTCCAGGCAGAAGGCGCGTGCACGCGCCATTCACGCTATCATTGGCTCCTGTAAATGCCAATCACCAGGCCAGTGATTCATGGCTGGGACTCGGAAAGCTGACAATAGGGAGATTTGTGAGTGTAAACAAAAAAAAATGGCCTGATCACGAAGGGGGAGTAAATGTTCCGGAGGGCAAGTGGATAAGCAATAAATTTTACACTGACATTTTTACACTAAATGACACTAACTGAAACTTTGTGGCAGCCAGTGACACTAATACAGTGTTCAGTGCTAAAACTATACACTAATCACTGTACTAATGACACTGGTTGGGAAGGGGTTAACATCAAGGGTGATCAAAGGGTTAAGTGTGTGCTTAGCTATGTGTTTGGTGTACACTAGGTGGTGCTTTCACTATGGGATAAATCGTGTGGCTATGCAGAGGTACACGATTCATGATTTCCCCCCCCCCCCCCCCATCACAACAGAACTCTGTCTACACATATACAGCTCTGTTCTTCCTCCCTGACCGACAATCTGCAGGGGCTTGTAGATCGGTTTGTGAAGGGATCCTCTGGCAGCGCACGTGTGGCAAATGTGCAAAATCACATATATAAATGTGATTTTGCACAGGAATGCCACTCTGTAGCAGTAAAACTGCTATAGGGCGGATGTTAAGCGGTTAATAAGCATACATAGAGATGGATTGTAGTGCCATACAGACAATCCCGTCACAGCTATATAACCATTTTTTTTAGAGTAAACTTGATTGCAGTTCATATCAGCTGGGCTTTAGGACCCATTACCACCAGTGCATTCAAGCTGCCCAAAATAGATCCTATTCGTTTAGGCCAGCGGTTCTCAACCTGTGGGTTACGACCCTTTAGGGGGTTGAACGACCCTTTCACAAGGGTCACCTAAGACCATCAAAAAACACATATTTCCGATGGTCTTAGGAACCTAGACACCGCTCCTCTATCCATCTCCAGGCAGGTCCGGTGTCTTCATTTCCCTGGACCGTGATGTGTGGGCGGGATGAAATGCCGCCCCTGTCATCTGGCCACATCCCCGGGATCACTCAACAGCTCCGCCTCCTCGCCGGTGATTGGCCACCTGAACTGTAGCTCAGGAGAGACACACAGGCGGCCAACCACCGACGAGGAGGTGGAGCTTGGAGAGGAGGAGCCAAGCGGCAGTGCAAAGATCAAAGAAGATCAAGTGAGGGAGCTGCTAGAGCGAGTGAAGCAGAGGAGAGCGGCCAGAGAAGGAAGACAGCTGACCAGTAAGTGTCTGTACCATGCAGATGGTGCTGCTGCAGCCAGGTATGCTGGCTGTAGATGGGAGAGGAAGGGAGCGAGCCCAGGCTGGAGCAGAGGTCAGCAAGGTAAGTATCCCACTGACACCAATGATGGGGCACTATTTCCCCCCCACTGACACCAACAATGGGGCATTATTCCTCCCCCCACTGGCACCAACGATGGGGCACTATTCCTCCCCCCACTGACACCAACAATGGGGCACTATTCCTCCCCCCACTGACACCAATGATGGGGCACTATTCCCGCCCCACTGACACCAATGATGGGGCACTATTCTACCCACAGACACCAATGATGGGGCACTATCCCCTCCCACTCTGACATCAATTATGGGGCACTATCCCCCCCCCACACTGACACCAATGATGGGCACTATTCCTCCCACTGAAACCAACGATGTGGCACTATTTCTCCCACTGATACCAATGATGGGACACTATTCCTCCCACTGATACTAACGATGGGACACTATTTCTCCCACTGACATCAGTGATGTGGCACTACTTCTCCCACTGACACCAATGATGTGGCAATACTCCTCCCACTGACACCAATGATGGGACACTATTCCTCCCACTAACATCAATCCAATGAGGGGCACTATTCCTCCCACACTGACGCTAATGATGGGGTACCATCATTGGTGTCAGTGGGAGGAATAGTGCCCCATCATTAGTGCCAGTGTGGGAAGAATAGTGCCTCAACATTGGTGTCAGTGTGGAAGTAATAGTAACCCATTGTTGGTGTCAGTGGGAGGAATAGTGCCCCATCATTAGTGCCAGTGTGGGAATAATACTGCCTCATCATTGGGGTCAGTGTGGAAGTAATAGTAACCCATTGTTGGTGTCAGTGGGAGGAATAGTGCCCCATAATTAGTGCCAGTGTGGGAGGAATAGTGTCCCATCATTGGTGTCAGTGTGGGAGGAATAGTGCCCCATCATTGGTGTCAGTGTGTGGAAGTAATAGTAACCTGCATATCCTGCATATCAGTTATTTACATTACGATTCATAATAGTAGCAAAATTACAGTTATGAAGTAGCAACGAAAATAATTTTTTTATGGTTGGGGGTAACCACAACATGGGGAACTGTATTAAAGGGTCGCGGCATTAGGAAGGTTGAGAACCACTGGTTTAGGCCCTTATTTCAAGTTACAGGTTTTCTCAGAACTCTTGACTGATTGGTATTTACAAGTCGCATACCACTCCATATTATCCTCAAGTAAACAGAATGTGTGAATGTTTTAACTATATACTGCTTGGTATGTTGTGGACACTGGAGCAAGAGTGACCTCGCTGATAAGGAGAAGTGCATAAAGCAGGGAAAGATTCCTGGCAAGCAGAATCAGCTCAGGGACAATACCTGTCTTAAGAATACATCCCAATATATCACAGCAGTAATATATGTACATCCCGGCAGGGGCGTCCCTTGGGTTGGTGTCACCCAGTGCGATAACACTTGGTGACACCCCCTCCGACAATCCCCGCAGAACAGGGGCGGACTGACAACTCATGGGGCCCCCGGGCAATAGTGGATCATGGGGCCCCTGTGTCCTTGCCCAAACTCAAAAAAGCCTATGAAAAAGGTACCAGGGGCATCTCATGGGGCCCCCTACTGACCCTGGGCCCTTGGGCAGTGCCCAAGTTTCCAAATGGTCAGTCCGCCCCTGCCGCAGAATGGATTGAAGATCGATCCATCCTGCAGGGATCATTGGCTTTCTTTACAACTTACCTTTTCGTGGAGCGGGTCTGGTGTCACCCTGTATAGGTTGCATGCCAACAATCTCCGCAGGATGGTTCAGATCTGCGGATTGAGCATATTGGATCGGAGTCTGATCCATTATGCTCCTCAATCCACAGATCCAATCCATTCTGTGGGGATCACTGGCATGCAACCTATACAGGGTGACACCGGGCCCGCTCCACAAAAAGGTAAGTTGTAAAGAAAGCCGACGATCCCCGCAGGATGGATTGGATCCATTCTGCGGGGATCGTCGGCTTGCTTTACAACTTACTGTTTCGGGGAGTAGGTCCGGTGTCACTTCGTGCAGTAGGTGTCACCCCATGCTGTGCGCACCCCTGCACCTGCCTTAGGACGCCACTGCATCCCGGTACACTGCAACCCACCACCCCTCCAGCAGAAGCTGTCGTCCACTAATACAGGCCCAAGCCTGGTGACACTGTATAAATACCAACAGCTATATTACCTTGCATCCTTGCCTACTATAACCCAAAAATCTACAAGATAAATTACAACATCAAGAACTGTTTGTGTGTGTTTTTTTGGGTCCCTCCCTGATTGGGTACCCTAGGTTTAGGCCCCACCTACATGCACATTTTACATGCTGTAATGTGTGCAAAATTGCTTGTTTTACCGTTCATTACCACAAATGCATTTCGCATAAACAGGCCATTAGAAAAACAAACACATATTGGCATTTCTCCAGTCACTCTATGTTAATGCAGAGAAATGCAAATGTGAGATGTACCATACAGAGGGACTAAGAGTCTGATTATTCCTGTAAGGAAGATAAGATACATTCAATAGAGTAGAAAGTAAAGCACAAAGGGCCTAAACTGTTTATGATTGAATAATGAGAATCAGTGACTCACCAATTTTTGATTGCCTGAATATTTGGATGTAGATCTATCAGAGCTGTGAAAATAAAACCTTCAAGAAAACATATAAGTCATAATTCTATGCAGGCTGGTTAAATCTGAATGCATAAATTAATGACTGTTTTTCTGATCCAGTAGATTTGTGAACTGACTTGCTCACAAAATGAATATATGCAAAATGTTTTTACTCCTCATGCACACTGGGAATTGTACACTCCCCCCCCCCGGTGCACAAGATCCCAGCTTTTAGGTGCAGGCTTAAGGCACAGATGCACCATCTAGCCATGCTGCTGGCAGTCTGTAAAAGAACTAAGAGAGGCTGAAAGTTGCTGCAGCTGAACGGTGCACAAAGTAGTACTAATGTTTAGGGTAGTATGTATTCAGGGACAAATAGTCCTTAGATACTTAAGGCCCTAACACCCGGGTCACATCAAGCCCAGCTTTGAAATCATGCAAATTACAGTGAAATTGCACAAATTCAATGTCAGGGGACATGCCGATTTTAGGTGCGATTTGAAAGACATCTGACACAGATATCTATGCAACTCGAACCAAAAGTTGTACATGTACTATTTTAGAAATAGTGCAGCTCTGACCAAGTCGGAACCGCACAGATATGACCGCTGTAATTGCAGACAGTATGGTGCAACTTGGCATCTGATTTACAAGTTGCATAGCATGCAAATCGCATGCCAAGTTGCACCCGATGTGACCAGGGTGTAAATTATATTACCACTTGGTTGATTGTCCAGTCACAGCATCATTCAGCCTCTCATAGACTTACAGGGCTGGGTTGGATGGTGTACCTGTGCCTCCCACCCACACCAAAACACTGGGATCTCGTACACCCACTGTGCATGAGGTCTAACTTGCCAAAAGATTTGTTATTCTGTTCAGTACTGTTAGGATCAATGTGTTCTTGCCAGCCAGCATAGCCAGGATACTAACCTCACTTTTCTCTGCTGAAGAATTATCCCAGTGTATTGTTTAGAATATGAATAAACATTACCATACTGATGAAGATGACACTCTGCCCACTCCTTATGTTCACAGTCTTCCATAGATAGATTAACAACACTGTCTCCGACTGCCTCACATGACAGCTATATGGTAAACTTATATAAAGGCCAATTCAAATACATGTATTACAAATATAAAATATGTCATGATTTATATTGAGTATACCTACTAAATCTATCTGGATCAGGGGCGGACTGACCATTTGGAAACTCGGGCACTGCCCGAGGGCCTGGGGTCAGTAGGGGGCCCTATGAGATGCCCCTGGTACCTTTTTCATAGGCTTTTTTGAGTCTGGGCAAGGACACAGGGGCCCCATGATCCCCTATTGCCCGGGGGCCCCATGAGTTGTCAGTCCGCCCCTGATCTGGATTTTAGTTTTAAGTACTAATACTATAGACACAAAGATAAATTGCCATTGTTACTACAGCTTATACTCCCAAAGACTGACAATGAAGGCATAGTCCATTGTATTTTCCAAAACATAAAATTTGTGGTGAATTGTTATAGTTTAATGTAATAATGGGATACAATCATTATTCCACCACTCTTAACTGGTTCCTACCAATAGCAGATTGACGGCCAGACGGCCTTTCATCCTTCCAGGTGGACCTCTTCCTTGTCACGCTGCTTGTGGGCGCCCCCCGGGGGTGTGCAGCATGGCAATTGATGGTGAGCTGTGTCACTCCGACACAGTGCATCACCGATCAGAGTCAAGAGCCAATGACGTTGGCTCTTTACCATGTGATCAGCTGTGTCCACTCACAGCTGATCACATGTAAATAAACGCTGGTTATCGGCATTTCCTTTCTCAGCACTGTTACAGCTTGAGGAAGGAAAAGCCATTAACCAGCTTTACTATGATAGGAAACATTTACACTGCAGTGGCGGACTGACCATTTGGAAACTCGGGCACGGCCCGAGGGCACGGGGTCAGTAGGGGGCCCCATGAGATGCCCCTGGTACCTTTTTCATAGGCTTTTTTGAGTTTGGGCAAGGACACAGGGGCCCCATGATCCCCTATTGCCCGGGGCCCCATGAGTTGTCAGTCCACCCCTGTTACACTGATAATCAGGGCGCTGATCATCAGTGCCCTGATTATCAGTGCAGCCCCATCAGTACCTGTCAGTGCAGCATATCAGTGCAGCCCTATCAGGGCCAATCAATGTCCATCACTGTCACCTATCAGTGCTCATCAGTATTGCCTCATCAGTGCCCATCAGTGCAGCTTATCAGTACCTATCAGTGCTGCTTCATCAGTGCCCATCAGTGAAGCCTCATCAGTGCCCATTAGTGCATCCTCATCAGTGCACATCAGTGAAGAAGAAAATGTACATATTTGAAAATTTTTATACCAGAAATCAAGAAAAGGGTTTTTTTATAAAATTTTCTGTCTTTTCTTGTTTGTTTAGAAAAAAATAAGAAAAAACAGTGGTGATTAAATACCAACAAAAGATAGCTTTATCTGTCTCAAAAAGATGATAAAAATGTAATTTGGGTACACTGTTGCATGACCACGCAATCGTCATTCAAAGTGCGACATTGTGACCATCTGTCCAGCCACCCTAACTAAAAGTAGAGAGTGAAAAATATGTGATATTGAGTTTTTTTCTACAATATTGATTTTCTTTATTTTCCTTTATTTTCTGTTAAACACTCTTGTCACTGTACAGTCTTGTCATCATACAGCTTTTAAAACTGTAAAATAGTAAAGCTTAAAAGACTGATAAAAATATGTGAAGTTAATTCTTCAACCTCTGAGAAACTTTATGCTTTTGCTAAATAATTTTTTTTTTTTACAATTTTATTTGTTTTTAACCTTAAAAGTTATGTGTTTTCCATCAAAAGCGCAATTTCAGTCCTTCTATAAACTGCTTAAAAACAAAATAAAAAGAAAATGCTTTGAACTATTTATTTTCAAATATTAAGAAAGAAAAAGGTTTGTGTTTTAGAAGCTTAGAACTGTTATAAAAATATTTTTTCCTCTTTCTGTATTTGTGATAAAAAGGCTCGATGACAACTTTAAACATCATGCGCAGACAGTGAAAAATGTTTTTCCACAAAGACTGCTCGCAATAATGAATAGATGAAAGTATTTGATGGGGGCTGAGTTTATTAGGAGTATTGCTTTCTTGGAGAAGTGAATCAGAGGAAACACAATCCTGTGAAAAGAAAATGAATTAAAAACAGAGGTTCCTGTTGAAGACTGATGAGCAGTGACAAGGAAGGATGTTCTCAGGGAGGTGCTAACAGATGGAGCAGGTGGGATTCAGTGGAGCTGATAGGTGTTTTGACGATAAATGAGCAAGTTTTAACACCCTTTGTCTCTACCAAAGAAATGCAATCCTTTTCACAAAATGATAGAGAAAGGATTAACCCCTACTTTCCTTACACATCCTTACATGTATTGCAAGAAAAAAAGATTTTTTTCTCTGGTTTATGTTTGCAAAACATAACCCACAGCACAAAAAACAAAAAAAAAACCCTGAATGATCAATGTTGGAACTTTGCTTCAGCAATGTTTTTGTAAAGTTATTTGTATTCACAGATAAATGTCACTTAGCCCCCAGGTCACAATTAACATATGGTGTGCCCTCATTTGTTTATAGTAAATACCTAATTCTTCACACAGCAGATTGACATTAGTGTGAGTGTAGAAAGAGCACAATTCCATGATTGGCTTTTATTTTTGTTTTTTTTTTGTTTTTTAAAATTCTATTTATATTTAAACTCCTGCAGACATATGTATATGTACAAAGTAAGAGCATTTTCAGTTTCCCAAATGAAAATATCAGACCAGAACATAGTTTGCAGAATATGATTATACCACTGAGTGATTTAAATGAATGTCAAGCCCAACAATTTAAAAAATATATTTTTAGTTTTGGATAGCATGGGAAGGGTTAAAGTGGTTGTAAAGGCTCAAGGTTTTTGCCTTTATGCATTTTATGCATGAAGGTAAAAAATCTTCTGTGTTCAGCAGCCCCCCAGCTCGCCTAATACTTACCCGGGCCCCATCTTGATTCAACTATGT